AGCTTCTTGCCATGCTTTCTGCAAATTGCCTCATTTGCATCCCTCTAGATGTAAAGCAGATAAAAGACAGAGGTCCTGTTTCTTTAACAGAAATTTTTTTTCTGTGTTCCCCATTTCCAGAAAGCATACAACCCTTCTGTCAAAATGAGCTGTTATTTTGGTTTTTCCCAACTTGTCCAAGGTAAACAAGCAGTGTGCTATGCTGTTAACTTGCCTGCACCAGGAAACTTAAATCAAATCTCCTGCTTTTCCTTTCTTAAAACGTGAATGGCCTCTGTCCTCCAACATCCTATTCGCCTCCTTGTTTGATTAACTTGAATAAATAAGGGCACAATAGCTCCCTTTTTATAATTGTCCAAGTACATAGCTAAACTGCCAATGTCTTGTTTATCTTTGTATAAAGCTGTATAAGCTAAGTGGTACCATTTGCAGGTTTGTCCAGTCTCCCAGCTAATGAATGAATGATGTTTTCCAAAAGGGTCCCTCTGCTCATACTCCTCAGTTAGCATGCCTACAGGTAGGGCCTGCAGTAGAGCACCCCGTCTCTCCTGTGGCTCCAACTCCACAGGTAAACACAACCTCTGGTCACCCCCGGATCAACTGCAGATGTTCACAGAGAGGGGACAAACAGCAAGGCAGGGAAGCAGGGAGGGAGTTCACAGCTCTGGTCCCTACTCTGCATTTAGAAAAGGACTGCAAAGAACATCCCTCCCTGGCAGCCGTCCCTGGTGAGGACTGTTACACTTTCACCGCCCCCATTCCCCTGCCGTATGACTCAGCACCATGAGCTTCATTCACTGGGCAACCAAACAAAAACCTGTGTTTGGAAGGGTGAGTGCTCCGACTGACACACACACGGACACACTGCACAGATGGTGAAGCTGCCCATGGAGTTCCTTTAAGCATCAAAAGCTGGCTAAAATCACTGAGCTGTACACAACCTGAGAGAGCCAAGTGGGCTCCACTTCAGTCAGAGCCCTGTACTTTGACCTATGTACGTCTGCAGACAAGTTGTATGGGCTGTGGCTATGCTGCACCAGTTGGTTTTGAAATATCTAATTAAAATAGACCACTTAAAATAGAAGACAATTCAATTCAATTTTTTTTTAACTGTGATAATTTACCAGTGCTAAATAAGCCAATTTAGTCAAAAATTTGACTTGTTAGTTGCTTATTTCTTTGACCTGTTGAATATATCATTTAGTTTGGAGAAGAGATTCTCTTGAGTAATGGAGGTGACATAGTTTCATTGAGATGGGCAATAATATATTAAACACTAATTTTTTATTAATCTGTGTCAAATAAACTAGTTGCTCCATGACTTCTAGAAAGCTTCAAGGGAAATTACAAGGTTTTGACAAGTTAAGCACCTGACCTGGGTACCTGCCCACCATTATGGAAGGTAGATATTCTTTCAGATACAGACAGTGCAACATGAAATATTCAAATGCCATGAAAGAACAATATTGATGTCTTGTTCTGAATGTCATTAAATCTCATTGTCTGCGTAGTTCATGCTGTTTTATCAAATTCACACATACAACATAATCAGCTAGCATACCATCTCATTAGTGACTATTGTTTTCTTGAATGTATATATTAAATAAACTCTTTTTAGCCAAGCCACAATTTATTCAGCGATTTCTGGAATGACACACTGTGAAACCTAAATATATATGCAAATATGATATAACATATACATTAAAATGAGGGGAAATTTATATCATATTCATTCATATGATAGTTTGAAAAATTTAGATTTTTTGGCTCGTATAAGTGACCACAGATTTTCTCTATAGCTTTTTGCTTGCCCACATCTGTCCTATGAACTCTGTGACCTGATAACTCCTTTTATTCCAGTATCTTCTGACGCAGAAAACGTAACTAGACTCCTCTGCAGCTGGGTTTCATGAGCTGTTGCCTATGGAAATTAAGTCAGCAACATTCATGCTTCAGCAATATCACCCCATTTCATCTAATAAACATTAATGTATACAGTGCTTCCAGGTTTCTACTTGGCAGTGAAACTTCTGTTTGCATTTTCAGTATGATGCCTTGAGCTTTCAAGAACCTTAGGAGTTTCCATAGTCATCTTTTAAAAGATCTTCGCTACAAACAGAACTAAACTTCTAAAAGCTGTTTCATCTTGATTTTTAAGCAACTTTCTAGAAGCAGTTTTTTTCTTCTCTGACCGGCTTCTCATTTCAAATTGCAGGTCTTGGAAAGCAGTCAAGCCTAAAAAGACATTTCATATGCTTTCCATTTTCTTTCCATCACTCACTGAGACTTTTGATTAAATAACAATGAGGAAAGAAAAGTGTTAAGCTACTCTAAACCAGCAGGCTGAAATGAGCAACAGGGGAGCCTCTGCTTCTTATAACTGTGGAAAAGAAAGCAAGCTGCTGAAGGAAATTATCACTTGGCTCATGACAGTATGGGGGGAAGTAACCTCAAAATTGAGAAGGAAAAAAGGAGTACAGGGTGATGTTTATGTAATCAGAATAACACCAGATAAGGAAAGGAAACAGGCTGGTTTAGTACAGATGTGTGTGGAGAGAAGGTAGAGAAACCAGAAAGAACAGGGTGGAGAAGGAAGAGGGATCTCTGGAGTCAAAGCCAAGCAATGGCCCTGCAGGGTTGTTTCTGGAGCTGATCAGCACAGAACAAAAAGTAGCATCAGACATCTCTGAAGCAAGAAGAGAGGAGGTGGGTTTTTTCCATATACCTTCCAGAAAATGAATGTAGAGGAGAAAATATAATGAGATGTTTTGAAAATAATGAGAAAATATAATGAGAAATATAATCATATTTGGAGGGGATCATATCTGGAGCTGAGCAGAGGATTCAGTGTGAATACAGCTGCATTATTATACTTGATGAAGAAAGAAAGAATTTAATTTTTTACCAGTGCTTTTTACTCACAAAAATTTTACTCTGTTAACTATATAATTGTTAACAAAGCAGTACCATTTTCTTCTGCTCCTGGCAGCTCAGAGTGGTTGTGTTATATGACAAAAATGTGCTTATGCCCGTAGATTTATGTATCTTTCTTCTGGGCCCAGTAGTCTGTACTACTGTAACTGTTATCTGCACTCAGATGGTCATATCAGGGTAAATATGCTGATCTGAATATATGTATTGTATTATATGCCATGTAACACACATAGACATTAGATCCCCACTGAATAAGCACTGCTAGACTAGGAGAAAACTCATGAAAAAGAACAGGGCTAACCACACCTCTGGAGAAAACTTCCCCTATATGATCTTAATCAGACTCGTGACTTAAATCAGTGGATATCACCAAGGATTAACATGCCTTTTATGTCACTGTGTTTTAAGGATTTGTTGGTTAATTGAAAGTTGAGATCAGCTGCTTTGCAGTAAAATCTTGCAAATGTGCCCTGGCAACTGGAAGCCTCTTCAGGTTTTAAAGGAAGAACCTAAACAATGGAGATGAGGGGGAAAAACAACAGCAAGTAGCCTTTACAATAATG